TCTCTCCTCTCCTCACTCAGTATCAGGGTTAGTCAAAATGATGGACACGTTCGATTCCTGTTTTGGCTAGTGTGCCGTAGATGGGTTTCATTCCATTTCAAAGTGCTGTTTGACGCCGCACACTGCCACTCCAACATCCAATCACAGAGCTTGAGGACTAATCACGGGGTATGTCAAGCAAAGCACATGGTGTAGTCCCAAACGATAGCTGAGGATTCTGGGTAGTGTAGTGTCTTCTGCCATCCTAAACTCCGAAAAAATATTTGTTTCTCCGAATCGAAGGGGAAAATACAAAAGCATTGTACACAATTTAAACCAATCAATGTTGTGTAATTAACAAGGATAATCTGGTGTTTTTGAGTTGATGAGTAGTGCAGATATCACTGTAAAATCAATCGACAGTAAAGAGAATACTTACTTCCGGGTGTAAAATCCTCCGTTATCCAATGGGAATGGACGCTCACATTGCCTTTAACTGCCGCCGACATGGACCGATGCGGTGCTTCCCTGAGCGTCAAATACCGCCGCCGATGGGAATACATTGCAATCAGTTGAAAGCTCTTGCGTCCGTTTATGAAGCTGAAGGAGACTCGGCGCGTCACTACTGCACGCCATAGGACCCTGACCAAGCGTCGATCCTGGACGTTTAGGGAGTGAGAGTGTGTTGCAGCAGGAGGCCAGAGAAAGAGAGACTTATTTCAGATACAGACGAAGAAGATGCATCACATGTGCACTAAATGATGTGCAGGCCTGAGTAATCATGCAAGAAAAACAACAATGTACTTGTTTTGTTTAACAGTTACTGTAAGGTGCAGGCATCTTGCATCGAAAGGCCGGCAGTCAAATAGTCCGATTTCCTTTACTAAACACTTTTTTAAGATTTTTTATTTTTTTTTAAATAATTAGTAAGGACTAAGAAGAAGAAACCAAGACAATCAAATTCACCAACGAGATGGCGGATCGATGTATTATTTTATTATTAGGTTTGTTAATAGAAAATGAGTAGGTTAACTCAATGCTGTATAGTTCTAGTAATCTTCCCTGTCCCAAACTCACCTCTAAAGAAGTACGTTTTAACACATCATGGTGAACATTTAAGTTAATTATGTGATGGATTTTTCTTTGGAGAGGCAATGTTATGTTATGTATAATAGGCAAATAATAACATTTTTAGTTAAATCCTTTCTTTTATTTACATGATTTAATCGAAATCTTAATCGTTTAAGTTGTGGGTTTCTACTCAATCTGCTTTTTGCACAAAACACAAACTCTTAGGAACCCTGACTCTGTAATTGGTATAGTCCGCCCCTCTGCCTAATACACAACTCTCAAACATATCCTGCAATGATTCAGAGAAATAATTGTCCTCCACCGGCAAACAGGTATATGTGTGGGCTGACATTTGAAGGCTCAGCGCTGTAATACCATGTGGCAGGTTGTGGAGTCAGAGTCAGCAGTGAGCTGGCTAAGTCCCCAGCGGGAGGCAGTCTTTATCGAAGTCAATGGCTGGGCTGTCTGAGGAAAAAAGGTTTCATTAGCATAACCCTGCAGGGGTCTGTGCTACAGGTAAGAAACAGAGGAGGGAAGAAGAAGAGAGTGCAGAGAGGAAAATTGGAAAAGCAGATTAAGTAGAACGATCGTGTGTTGTTTGAAATATGCAGATGACGACAATGACAGTGATGATGATGATGATGCAGGTGACAGCTATGATCACAGTGGTTATCTAGGTGACTAGGATGACATTGTCAATGAGTAATTTCAAAAAGCCATGCTGATTGCTGCATGACATGAACACTAAGATGAAACAGCATTTCAGTGAGCCTCCACTTTGTTTTGGAGAGTTAGTTTAAAGGGGACTTCTCAGGAAAAACACTCACTTGTTCCGTTTTTAAACTCATACATCTGGGTATCTGGAGTGTCCACCAACCCACAAGCTGTGAAATAAGAAAGCCTACTCAAGTTTTGTGGGCTGCCCCAGTCAGAAAACATGATTCTGCGGGCCAATGGATTTGGCTCCACTTCCTATATGTCGCACGCAAGTTCATTAAATACCTTCCCTTAGCTGAGCATGTCCAACACTTTTTTAGTGACCCAGGCTTAAAGACACAGCCATGAAAACGTATTGTTTCATACCAAGGGAAAATACAAGTATATTCATACAGACAGTATGAAGATATATGTGTTTTCTGAACCTTTAAGCTTGTAAACATGTTCTAGTAGAAACCTATAATATAAGTTTGGACCCAAAAACGAATAGGTAGTAGGTCCCCTTGACCACTGAATTTTGAGGGGGGGGCTTTAATTTAGCTTTTGCAGGCACTAAATGTATACAAATGTTATATTATGTGTGGCCTGGACAGTGCATACAAGTGTGCTTCATAAAGCAATAGTCAGATTGGTCAAAAAATCAGTTTAGAAGCTGTAATGAAACATCACGTTTTTTTTTTTTAAATCTCTCTTTCAGACTGGACTTGAGGATGTAAATGCTGTTGTCAAGCCAGAGATGAAAATGTAATGTTGTCGCCAAGCCAGAAGATGTTGGGTTCTTCCTTCCACCCTGCAATTGAAACTCCAGTCGTATTCATGGTGGCTTGACAGCAGCACACAATAGACATGGTAATGGCTGGGTACATTCTGACGCACACACACTCACCCTCACAAAATAGGAACGTATACAGACTTACAATGAGACCACAGGCTTTCAGTGAACCACAACATAAAGATCATCATTTTGACTCTGCCTTCCCTTCCACAGGAAACTGCAGACACTGATTATATGCCATTTGCTTGTGTATGTACTGTGTGTGTGTGGCGGGACCAGTGAAGAATTTATAGATTACATTTCTGAGGTTAACATATCAAAACCTTTTGATTTTGACTACCCGTTCTCCATTGGTTCCCATATCACCCAGACACACTGGGTAACTGGTAAAGGGATCTTCATTTGTAAACTCATTGGAGTTACATTTAATATAATGCTATTGTCATCTGAAGAAAGTTTGGATATTGCTTGTTTGTTGAAGTTTATAATACTCTATATATTCTGTTGTGAAATGTGTGAACAATAAAATGGTTCCATAAGAAGTCCTTTATATTAAATTATGGGTACCACTTTACAATAAGAGTACCCTTATAAAGGGTTTACAAATAGTTTGTTATTCATTTATTAATTAGGTTGTGAACACTTTATAAATCATGAATAAGCTTTATAAGACATGAGATAAACAGGGCAACTGTGACCGGTTGCTTGCTAAATAGTGAGCCCACATTTATCTGTACTGCTAAGCCTTATATTGGCAACTTAGCATACTTCGTCTTCTTCATCAGCCAGCATCCTTGGTATCTGTTGCTCACCGAGTTGATTCTCGCTAAGTAGCCAATATAAAGCTTAGTCATCTTGCCAAATAGTGAGCCTGTGTTGACGTATGAAAACTATGTTAGAACTGGTTTATAAATGGTTCTTAATAATTAATAAAGTGTTTACAACCTAATTCATAACCTAATTATAAACCCTTTATGAATCCTTTATAAGGGTAGTCATATTGTAAAGTGGTACCAAATTATCAATACTGCATTCACACGCCACCACAAGCAACATATGAGCCTGCGTTACCATTCATTATTAGTCCTCTGTGTTATCGCTCTGAAACTTTTTTTTTAGAATTTACCGCCGCAGTCATTGAGCAGAAACCCTTCTGTTTATATTCCCTGAAATGATAACATCACCTATTCATGACGGTTCCCTTGAGAAACATGCAGCACACAAAAAAAGGTAGAACAGTCTGTAAATTACAATGGAGGAGAGTCTTCCCAGAGGAGTATCTTTACTTCACACGGTGTCAGAGCATGTGCAGGAAGAGATACGATTGAAATACAGTCATTTTAAAGACTCCTTTTATGAATTATAAATCAATTGCTGAGATGACATTCATTTCTTGTGAAAGCTTTAGACTACTCTTATTGAAGTAGCAAGTGTATTCTGATGGGAGTAATTAAGTGTGACATTTGATTCTGATTAGATATTTATTTCTATTCTGATCATTAGTGAAACTAAAAGCTCCAGCACAGCTAATGAGGCGAATTGTGCTTTTGCTCTCAAACTCCTGGTCTCTCTGGTATGATTAGAGAAAGCATACGATTTCTTCAATTCATATTATACTTTAATTTGAATATTCTCAATATTCAGGAATGGGTGAGTAGACAGCTGTTTGCCCTCAAAATGATCCGACACCATACTGAAAAAGCCCCAGAATATATAATAAAAAACAAATGGTTGTCATGTGTCATAATCTCAGCATCATGGGACTTCTATTTCAGTTATACGCTTCTGCAACAAATCCTTTAGTTAGAGATGCGTGTTTTGAAATAAAGAAACAAAATCTAATTTGAAATGGACCTCCTTATATTAGACTGAGACATGCCGTAGTTATTCGAGTGCCAGACAAGAGACACAGTTTGTCGTCAACCACTAATATCCCACTCCTGTTCCACTAATAGAAGCTGCAGAGTGCCGTCACATGATTGAAACTCATCTTAAAAGATTTATTCCCATCAGTATGGGATATCCTAGATATTTAAAGTTGACACCTGATGAAGCTGTTGACACACTGCCGTAGCACAGCAGGGGCTTGAACCATAGTCATGTTATTGTGAATTTAACCATGTGATCACTGAATTCAGGCAAAATATGTTTAGCACAGGGGAAATACATATTATTTATTCATGGTATTGATAACAGGGATGTATATAGAGAAACAGAATGGATATAGATAGAGATTGGAAGACCAGAAGGTGACCTAAAGGGACAAATTGTTTTATTATGTCAGCTGAGTTAGCCCGAAGCCTCAAAGTCATCAGATTGGAATCCCCAGCCAAATGTTATCGATGTGAAGCTTCCTGATAAAATGCAGATCTCTTCAGTGTTAATGAGGTTTGAGAGCCTCAGGTCCTCACTCACAAAGGGGATATTGATTTGAGTATATATTGAGTCAGAGAGTTTGACGGAGAATATAAATCTTGATAATAGATGTGGCCAAGTAGCTAAGGCGCTAGACTAGCAATCCTTTGGGGTGGGTTTCACTGGTGGGTTCAGATTCTGCCCAACAAAGATAACATATGCATTTTTTAATGTGTTTTTTTTTACATTGTCTATTGTTGTACAGATTAAACCAATATGATAAAACATGTTTTATAGTGAGCTTTTTTAGAGGTGCAGGTAGGTGGATTTTTGTCCATCTTTGGACTTGGCCAGGCCAACTGTTTCCAGTCGCTTTGTTGAGCTAAGCTAACTAGCTGTAGCTTTATATTTAGCATACACTTGGTATTAATCTTCACATTTAACTCTAAGCCAGAAAGACATATTAGCAGGTTTTCTCCAAAATATCAACATGTTCCTTTAATATGTGTAGCAAAGAGCTGAGTTAGCTGAGCCACATTTAGCGTCTCAGCCTGTTTTATTTGTGATTTGTAATTGTGAACTAATAAATCCTTTATTCAAACCCTTTCTTTGTTAATTCCCAAATGTAGTTTAATTATTTATCCCTGTTGTGTTTTACATATAAACAGTGAAAGTAAATACAATCCAACAGAGGTGTTGGTTGGTTTGAAAGTGTGAAAGCCTTCCCACTAACCGTAGGTTTGTCCTTATAGGACTGAAATAGATAGTGCACCAGCCAAACTAAGAGGACATTTGATGCAGCGCGCTAAGAATAAGGACATGAGTCAACAGCACTGTTCCTAATGCGAGGGACAACGGGACCCATTTAACCAGAGACCAGATCAAAGTTGGAAAAGAGGGAGGACGGCTTTAATACATCATCATATACCTGTTTATTTGTATAATTAGCAGCAAATATGTTAAAGAGGATATATATTGATGTTTTGCACTGCATAAATATATTGGATCGTTGACCATTATATCGATATGAAGCGATCCAGATAAATGATTGATAGAGCCCTGGCTAAAAGCCTTTTTACATACTTCCTGTTCTCTAGTTTTAACAATTCCCAGTGTCTAGGGAATTTTAAAAATAAGAAAGTCAATCTGTTTATCACCCTTAACATCTTAAATGAGTTTAACCTGTGCTATTCTTTCCAAAGCTGTCTTTAAAGCCCAGGCTGAGGTTATTGGTGATCTTTGAGAAGCAAGTCTCTGTGTTTGGCGCATATTTCATGAGGCATTGCACAACAATCTCTTTTAAAAAGCAGGTCAGGCTCATCTGAGAACATCCACACACCCTGAAGACACACATACACATACACACACATACACATAAACACACCACACACTGGAGCACCACCACACCCACCTTCTCACAGCTCATCTCCTCTCCCCAGTTTCAGGTCTCCCTTTACAGTCACTGATAGGTCAGCGGAGCGCATGTTCCACTAAAGATAGTAACACACAAATCACTTAGCAATCTTATTGTCAGAGAGGCTGTGTGAAACACTGGCCTCACAGGTTTTCTAACAGACAGTGGAAATGTGGAAAAAGTCGCATTAACAAACTCACACAC